AAACATACGTGTAAAGGTGTGCGCACATGTGTCTGTGTGTGTATATATGTATATGTGTGTGTGTGTGTGTGTGTGTGGGCCCGCGTGTGTGCGTGCATGTGCAAAATTGTTGCTGGTGGGCCCCAGCATGACTGCTGAGGTTGGAGCAATCATATGTTCAGCTGTGATTTCCATCAACACATTCCTGGACGCTCACACACTCTCTCAGTGGAGCTGCGCACAGCACCCCCCAAGGATGTGACCTGCAGCCTGCAGACACATGGCTGCCTCACAAGCGCTTATCACAACACAGCAGCCTGTAGGATAATGGGAGGCCTTAATCTGAAGCCACGTGGAGCCAAGCAAACTTTGACTCGCGTTGCTCCTTCACACTGGCCTTATAGAAAACAGTCAATGATATACTACACCGTTCTGCAGAAGGCCAGCAGGTCTTACCATGCCGGACTGATTACAGGGTAGAGGTCAGACCAAATGGACAACAAATGGTCCCTTGTCCTCTACACTGGGGGTTGGGCATAAGGCTGCAAACACCACTCTGGAAAAAAGGCAGCAATTGTTACAGAAATGGCTAAAAGTACATATGATATTCCAGACCACCAGGAGACACACACTCACACGCATACCGTACACTGGTGCGCATTCTGTCACAATGCCGAAGTTGGCAAAACACAAACAATAAAACGGGGAGGAAAGTCTTGTGGATTCAGAAAAGAATGTACGAAATTGCTCCACTGATCGATATCACGTTTTAAAAGCAGCGAAAGTGCAGCCACGGTAAAAGGAGAGAGTATTAAAACGAGTCTTAAGGCTGCAACATTGATAACAAGCAACTTAGACGTTCACCTCATCAGAACATCCAACCATCTGTGCTGAATAACACAGTAACTGGCACTGCCCGGCTGACAGAGTGCGTTTCTCTTCTACTGGTCAAACAACAAAGACATGAGTAAAATCCCCAAACAGGTCCAATCATTCAACGTTATTGTCAAACTGCATGGCTGGCATGAAGCCGAAATGTACTGCGTGCTTTAAAATGCATGAGGGGTTCACTTTGAGTTTAGGTTCAGCCTTGAACACGCTATGGCTATTTTTCCCGCCCAAGGCAATTTGCACGTCCATGTCTCCGCTCAGAGTTGCAAAGGTGTCGCATTTGTCTTGCTACACAAATATTGTTGGCTGGACTGAGTAATGACCAGATGTTATGTGTAGTATCAATAATGAGGGTTTATATGTTTTTGCTTTTTTCATGGCAAGTGGCAGTGATTGTTCGACTCCACATACTCCTTTATATGACACATTTTGCACTAAGTGGAGCTATCACTTTTTATTTAAGGAATGTTTAGGCAACTCCTATTTATTCACACCTCAGGGCTACGTGTCAGGTTTGTCTAGCACTCCTTGTGTAATTGATGCTATGCATATCAACTCAAAGTGAAATATGTTCAAACTAGTTGATAAAATATATTGGTACAGCTGAAATGTCACTCGTGAACGACTATTTACTGGAAGAATAGAAATGCAGAAATATCCCCTGTCCCCCTAAATTAAGGGAGGGGAAAATAACCCTGAATATTGACAAACGCAACAACGACTCAAAACAGTGACCGGTACAGTGCAGGAGTCTGTGTGAGCTGCTGAGCTTGTGGTGGCCTGTATTCACCATGTGGTGGAGCTGAGTGATGGTTTTCCCAAAGTCTGCCTTCACCAGAACAGACAGCAAGGCAGGCACAGCCATGTGCTACGTTCTCTCTCACCGTGAGGGTGAGGATGATGCTCATGTTTGACTTTCACTTTCTGTCTTGAGCGAGTCAGTGGGAAAGCCGATATTTCTAATGATTGCATCTTCCTCAGAGACTTCACATTGATGAAGCAGGTTCAAGCTGTGTTAGCATGCTTTGCACGACACAGGTAGAAAAAAGCCCATGCCCTAGTAGCTGACTGTAGAAGTACCAGATACAGTAGGTGCCTCGGCAAAGCTAGCAAGCAATTACTGCATTCTAAAATGGGTGTGAAAGTCTCCTCTGCAACACAGCGGGCTCTTGTCTTCCTCCTCTCCATACTGTTGTCCCTTACTGTCTGTCCCTCTTTCCTCTAGCTGTATCCCCCTCTTGTTCTGTACCGTAATGTCTTTGTCTGCTTCTTGTCATGCATTCCCTTGTTTTGTCCCCCCCCCACCACCTTTATTCACACTCTCTTCTTCTTTTTGCTCTCTCTGTCCATCTACATCTGCACCCCTCCCCTTGCTCTCCCTCCCTAAAAGGCACACATACACAGATAATACTGCGGCTACATGCTGCTTCGGCAACATACTGCAGCAGGCAGGCATACTCCACTGCAGCCCTTCAACACAATAGTCATATATCTTATGACCTTAGGATGCAAAGCAGCTCTTGGTGGAAATGAATTATGTGTCCTCTGCATCCAAATCTAGCAAATAGCCTCAAACAGATGTTTTTTGAAATCCAACCTGTTTAATAGGCAGAGAGAGCCCATTATTGTTACAATCATTCTCCGCAAACGTCATGTATCTTTCTTTACTCAACATCTGCTGATTTCAGCCTTTCATCAGCATATGACAATCACAGCAACATGCAGTTTGCTGCCAATTCCTTTTATTGACGTACTGTATGTAGTTTCAGGGAAGCCCTCCCCTGCCGATGGACATACCACCCCAGCTTCGCCCTGTCTTGCCTTCTCCCCTGAAGCATGACAGAACTAGGCGTGCTGCTGTAGCACAATGGGACTTTTTTTTTTTAATTTAACAGAGAACAGGCACATTCGCACATACACAAACAAAAACACCTCGGAGACAGACATCTGATGATCACGGCACAGGATAGGACATACAGTGATGCCATTGTTTGGGCATCCAAGAGTGACTAAAGGAAATGTCAGTGTAGACAGACAGCCACGCATAGAACACGTACATGAATGTGTAAAAATGTGTGCCACAAATACACACGGTTTTGACATCAGTGAACATTTTGGACCAGAAGTTAGGGGATATCATGTTTAAAAGAATGTGTGCTGTAAGTGAAAACAGTATCTAGTGTACCGTATAATTGCTCAGTCATGTTTTATCCATTGTGGCTACTGTACGCCTCAGCCCACTTGTTCACCGCTTTGTAATATTATATTTTCTTTCATATCGTTGCATTACGAGCCCTTTTGCCGGCTAAGATCATCATATAGAGTTTCATGGGCCACCAGTCACATGTTCATAAGCCTTCATTAAACACTCAGGCAGACAGGTGCTACCACCAGGGATTCCCCCGACCTTTGCAGGATGTACAGCACAAATTAACCTATTTTATTTAATTGCCATTAAACATGACTCAGTGATTACCGTTGAATTTTTCATAAATGTTAGCACCGCATGTCTGGGGCTTTGAATCTTGCGTCACTGACCCTTTGAATATTGGACGCTCATGAGTAAAATGAAATATATCACTGCGCTGGAATAAAGCCAAAGTGTCATAACAAGTGTACAGTATGCTGTATGTCACATGATCCAGCTATAAAACTCAACTGAAGCTTTTTTGATCTCGGGAAAGAGAAAAAGAGGCGATGTGAAGCCTTTAAATACAAGAGGGATGACTTCTTTTTTGCACTATTGTTTGCTGGAAATCAAACTTGGATGTTGGAAGCACTGAGAATCTGTGTTTTCAAACACAATGGGCCCTTTCTTTATCTGAAAAGAGCTGCTACTCTGATAATGCAGCTCAGCTTAAGTCTCTCTTAACCGTAAACAATAGCGGTAAAGGGTGGCCTTGACAAATAAAAAGGATGAAGGGGGAGTGATTATTGTGCCTGAATGTGAATACAAGGACACTGAGTGATGCCTTCCTTTTTCCCAGTGGTGGGCCGTCAGGGCCAGCTAAGCCTTCTCTGCTGGCCTAAACAGAATCACAAAGTTATAGCATTTTATAATTGAATGTGTGTTTGCTGGTGTCCTCGTTCGCCGGCCGGCGTTCGTGTTCGTCGGCCAGCCAATGAAAACACTGTCATTGTGTTAATTACGTTGATTCTGACTTGTCCGTTAATGACGAAGCATCCCATCATCACGGGGTTATTTCGGACATTTGATTCTCTTTCATTCATTTGTTTCCCCGCTAAGCTAGTTAGCTTAGCCTCCCTGAACACACGCAGGGCCTCAGCTGTTTTTTGTTATTGTTCCGGAACAATTGTTTTGAACATCCGATTTCTGTCTCGCCAGACAATCTGCCGTATAGTTCTTTGACAGTCCTGAACAAGATAACATCAAGTCCTCCCTAGATCCAGGCAGAAGCAAAGCTACATGAATTGTATCTGCTCTGTAAGGTATTTGTATGCTTTTATATATATATATATATATATATATATATATATCTTTCATACTGGCTCCATCTACTCAGACAACAAGCCACCCACAGCAGCTACACACTCACTACCCGCACTGCTTGGAACACACACAAACTCAACACCCAACCAAATGGAAGCAGCTGCTTTCAAAACTCTCTCATCTGCTACAGTACTTTGCAAAACTCAGCAATGCACACACACACCACTGCTGAACGAGCCTGTTATATTCTATCACACACTCTAAAGACACTTTCTTTTTCTTTTCTTTTTTACAACTTTCATATACCTTCATATTCTGTCGAGCTATGTTTTGCATTTTGCACTCTACTGCTTTTGTTGTGTGCTAGTGACGGTCAAAGGCACTGTGTGCAGTATAGTTATGTTGGCTTTCACATTGCCAGCAGACTGCAGTGAATGTTAAAAACAGAGATCAAACCATACATTGCATTTAAATTCCACTCGTCTCCGAGTACGATGTACCACTGATTAATGGGCCACAGACACATGTGTGGACAGTTGCTCTTCATGCATGTTACCATTGTCACATGCCTGTTTGCGATGGCTCCTTTTCATCTCTCATTTGGCAAGAGAACAGTCATAAGAACATCAACAATCTACATTAGTGCCTCTTCACTTGTTGCGTAGGAGTCAGTACTCACTGGTTTGGACGTTAACAGTGCCAGTGGAGTTGTCCTTTCCCAGTTGGTTCTCCACCACACATGTATAGTTCCCAGAATCCTCCAGTTTTGCTCTGCTGATCTGGACTCTGGAGTTTTTCCTGTGGGAGACAACACTTGCACAGCTGAGTCAGGGGAATCGGGGCAGGGAGGAAATAGCATGGAAACGCAACAAGTGGAAACATGGGGGACAGAGAGGCAGACAACAGGGCATGCAGCAGCATGGCAACAACTCTTTGCTTGATAGGTACACATAATCTCTTTCTCTGGGGCCAAATTTGAGGGGATAAGCTGCTTACAATAAGCAAGCATAGCACCAAGTGTTACCTAGCATTCTCTATTATAAAAGGGACTCTTGGTTTTACAGCCCAAGTCAATATCCTTACATCAGTGGGAAGTTTTACTGTAGTGCTGTCTAACTAAGTTATTTTTTGCTGCTGGGTAGTTTCTCCTAAAAAACCTTTGAGATATTGTCTCACATGGATGTATTAAGAGAGCTGAATATGGCGGTGCCAGTGCTGCTAAGTTTCCCCAGTGGTCGACTGTAGAACTGCAACAAAATAAATCCTCTGCAGCCCAAACAGCATTTTTCCCAATGGGCCGCTATCATTAAAGAAAGAACACCTCAAACTACAAACAAGGTAATATATGACTCTTTATGTTCTGACTTAATAAAGAGCAAAAGGCTCATTTATTTGAGTGATGTCATCCTTTTGTAAAGTCTATGGGCTGAGCAATGGGCCACACAGCAGCTTGTTTGGCTGAGCAATTTTTATTCAAGCAAATGGGCACCATCTTTGAGTCTTGTATCCAGTTTTTTTAATACATCCATGGAACAGGACCCCAACAGGAAACAGCAATTGTGCAAGGCACTGTGGGTTTTGGTCTGGTTTTACTCATAATTAAGTCGCTGAAATGTTTAACAGCGACATGCTAAAATGAGGTGTTACAATGACCCCGTAAGGTCAGTCATATACCCGTCAATGTCTGGCTGAAGATTAGCCAGAGGTTGTATTCCATCAAGCAAAACGTGAACAGTGGTACTTTGGGAATGTACTGAAGTGAAGGTGGATGTGCTTTATTTCCTCTAAATGTTGCTTTTTAATTGTATGAGAAAGACACATGAGCATAAGGAGGGCTGGTAAATTGGCTTGATTTAGTAATAATCATTACACTACATTTCAATAAGAAATAAACCCTGACAATCCCAAACAACAGATACATGTTTTGTTTTAACTACTCTATTGATATAAATTTTTGAATTGGTTTTAAACAAAAACTTGTTCAGTCTTCCTCAGTCTCTTTTCATCTTACACCGTTTGTGTTAGGTTTACAGGACACGGGTGGCTTATACTCACTGGCTGTTCCTTATTCTGATTTTTTTGCTTTTCTTCAGCTCGTTGCCATCTTTGTACCATTTGTAGGTGGGGTTCGCTGGGTTCCCTGTGGCCTCACACTTAACTATGAGCTTGCTTCCCTCGTCCACTATTATTGGATTCTTCATTGGTTTTAACTTGGGAGCCGCAGCTAAAAGGAGAAAAAGAGAAATAGTCAATGTTTATTAACCACCATAGACACACACTTGATTATAGTTTTGGTTTGCACAGTTCATTTAGGCTTGTGTGTGTTGGTGTTTTAGGAAAAACAGCGAGACAAAGAAGGACAGAGCAGAGGAGCCAATCATCATCTCTACGGACTGAGCCAGCAACTCTCTCATGTGACCACCAGATGTTGTCACTAGAGACATTATCAACTTTGCCTCAGACTAATAAACAGGCTGAATTTCACTTCGTCTTTGCTGCTATGAAAACACCTGAAGCAATATTTAGCAAACATCCACTAGCTCATGAATTTGCAACAACAAGCTGATGCGCAATTAAAGGCAAGGGGTAAAAGCAGAAAAAGCCAGTAAAACGTTGACTCTATAATAACTAGTTTGTTGTAATGAAAACATCAAAAGGAAATTATATAACTTATTATAACTCTTTCATCTCCTACAGTACTTAGCAAAACTGTAAAACCTGTTCCATCACACACTTTGAAGATTCAGTCAATTTTTTCAACTTTCATGTTCTCTTGAGCCTGGTCATATATTATACTGTACTGTTTATTATATGTTATGTTTGAAAAGAAAAATGTGGTCTTAAAAAAAACCCGGTATATTCCCTAGTTTCTGTACTTTTTTTTTCTCAGGAGAAAAAACCCTAATTGAAATATGAAAAATGATCTTTGTCCAAACGCACACATACACGCACACACAACACACACCAACACTTGCCAGCTGACAGCTGCACACATGTTTAGGAGAAGACTCATCCAGGGCGGAGGGAGAGAGAAGGGGTGAACAAGGGTCAACCAGGGGCTGGCCAAGATACCCCCCCCCCCCCCTTACACATAAACACTCCCTCTCTTTACGTGTAACATATACAATTTCATGCATATGCTAAACTGAGCGATCCTACAAACTACAGCTGTTTGCTGTGCCTCATCACTACAGGATAATGGTGACAAACAAAGCATGACAAGCAAAGTGAAGAGTTTACACAGGTAATGACTTCAATTAAACATTGAAATAGAGGTGCACTAAAATAATCCCCCATCGTCCTCCTTTTTGAGAGACTGTCCTACTTCACTGACCTGGTAATGACGACAAGTTTGCATGAAAAAAAAAACCCTAAATGATGCTGTGCTTTTCTTTTTTCTTCGGGGATTTAAGTGGACAGTTATGTTTTGGGGTTCAGTTGGATCTAAAACAGCATTTTCATACTTTCACATTTTCCGCTGCCATGAGAATGTGATATGTGCCAACAAAGCACATACGTCAGCTATTGGGAAATAGTCATTCTCATGATTCTGCATCCTGTTGTTTATTATTGATTCAAACTCAGCTCACTGTATAAGCCACATACACAAGTGATCACATGCAAAGAGCTTCGTCTGGCACATATGTGTCTATTCTAGAGCTCCGCAATGAAGTACTGTGCCTTGTGAGTATGCCTCGTGAGACCTGCCACCTCTGGTCGCCTGGCACTAATACTCCTGATAGGAGCCAGAGGTTACAGCTCTCAGTTCCAGCTGTGGATCTCTTTGACATTGAACAACCTCTCAGTTGATGCAGATCAAAAGTCGACCGTCATCCATCCTTTTACTGCATATACATTTTTTGTCTCACTTTAAGGTCTGATGCCCAGAGATGTAGATGTTTGCCTGGATTATTTAAGAAATACATATGCTATTAGTGGAATTACCTTAATTTGTACAGTAGCCAGATCATGGAGTGATCCTTGACAGCGCTGACGACCTTTGATGTTTACTGACATTTGGACATGTCAAGATTAATGCACAATACTGAACACCACATATTCTAAAAGAGCTGTCTGTCTGTCGTACACTTTGTGCTCATTTCCATTGGAATCACAGATAGGGAAGATGCCAAATTTTAAATAGCTCAAAAACAGCTCAGATCAATGGAAAAACAACTATTCTTAGTTCAATAGCATCTATTTGTTACTAAAATTATTCTGTAGCGGGTAAGACAGTGGACTTTTATCTGTGAGCAGCTTCCTGTTGGAAAATGTGAGTGACGATATTCATGGAGTTTGGAAAACAAAGACAAAGATTCTAACACAGATGTGCATTTGTGTCAAGACACTTTGTAACCTTAATGACCTTATTATCAGGATGGATCTTTGTGCTGCGATTTCTCCAGCTGTTAGTTGGAGATTTCACTGTCCCAAAAGGGTTTGAGACAATAAAAAAAATGTTTAAAAAAGGCTGAAATCATAACATTATATGGGCAGCACACATGCCGTGTATCAAATCAACTCTGCATGGTGAGGGTTTATCGATAGCCTCCAGCAAGACCATATACTGAACATGAGACTCCTAATACTCCAGATGTTCTACATTAAACATTTTCTGGTATTTAACAAATGCAACATACTATATGGGACTTGATGTTAAATAAAGATCAGACTGCAAATTGCTCCATGGTCTGCTGATCCTCCTAATTTTCACATTTGTCCGGGTAACTGAATCAGTTGTACTGTACGTAATGACACAGATGTTTGAAAAGCAGCGTAATCACACATTTTCATGAACTGCTCTAAAGTCTCAAAACTTAATTCAGCAGGAAAACTTTTCTTTGAATCTAATTAGAAAAAAAAAAGAATACTGCTGTCTGTATCTGATGACTTACAAAATGTCCATGCTCTCAAGTCTGCATCTAAACATGATTTGCATACAAACCCAGCACAATGCCCGAGCAATGCCGTGTCACTCATAGTCAGAGAACGGCAGGAATGAGTTTGCGCCATAAAGTAAGAATATTTTGTACTTCGCCTGGACACAGTTTTTTCCTTGCCAAGCAAATTAAACAAACTTTGTCCTCGCCTGGAATAGTTACAGAAACACAGGACTGCACTTCTCATCAGCCCAGCAAGCCAGATGTGTAAGAGGGTCTGCTCCATCTACAGCATGCTAATGAAGACACAGGAGTCCATCAGACACTTCCAGCTTTCAGATACAGATGTTTAACATTATACTGCATCAAGATTAGTCTTCACGGTCATGCCAAGTATTTCCAGCTCCTTAATCTGCGTAACACAAAATAAATGAATAAAAAAGAATGCCTCTCAACATCCGTAAACTTCTAAAAATAATAAAAGAATGTACCGTGACAGCTTGGTCAGTGATTTACAGTAGTTTCTCATGTTTAGAATGATAGATGTAAAAAACAGAGTATCATAAAGTCGATACTTTGATGGACAAAACTTAAGTGCAACACTATCAAGTCCATCGTACTCGAGATAAAGCATCTTCATTTTACGTATTCTACTTCATGTTTTCCAACAGCATAATAAAGAGTCAATATCATCGGAAATAGAATAATTTCTCTGAGACAAATGGTTATCTCATTTTCCATTACACCAGTGGAAAAAAAAAACCTGCCCGAACAACAGCCTGATTCTCTCTTTTTGAAGCAGAGGGGCAGCTGCAGACATGGACTATAAAAACCAAATTTGAGAATAGAAGCCTAACCGGCGTGTCAACAGCTCTTGCCTTGGGTAACAGTTGGAAACCTCAGCCCAGAGAGAGGTTCAAAAACAAAGTCACTTGATGAATTAACAATGGATTGCTCGCATTATTGAGTTAACATTTCTGTTTTACTTCCAGGGGCTTAGAAAAGGAATCTGAGGCATGCCTTTGTATTTCCCCTTCTAGACAAAGTATCCCTGATTACTCTGGTGTTATGTCAGTTCACTGCACGTTGTCAAAAGACAAATGACATGGCGAGACAGCAAGAGAAATGGGTTCTGCATGTGGGAATGGTCTTCAGACACTGCGCACTAGTCACTGTAACACAACATCTGCTCAAAGAGATCATTTCAACAGCCTCCCACCACAACCAATATACTGTACTTTCCCCAAATAATGATTTGCTGTATTGTTTACATGTTACTGAAAACACTCTACTTCTCCTTCACTAAACTCTGCAGAGATGCTACTAACAGGGTTTCACTTTGGGTGAGTTGGGACCAAAAGCAGCCAAATCATTTATATTGTTTATTGCAACATAATTTGTTATCGTGACAGGCCTAAGTATAACAACTAAATGACAACAAGTTACCGTAGTTAACGAAGGGAGAACATATTTGCTGACAGTCAGCTCTATGACCACCACATCTTGTAGTGCTAAAACCGCCAACAAGTCCAAAGTTACCATGTGTTAAACTCAGGTCTGCTTCAATTACCTTCACAAAATCTATAATTTTACAGCAAAAATGATTTCACCCCAAAACAAAATAAAATTACGTTTCATTGCAAACTGTCAAAAGACTAAAGTAACATTACTTTTGCACAACCTAAGTAGAAACTCATCTAAGTCCTAGCCTTTACTGGTCTCAGTGTTTAGTTTTGTGACCTTTAGTGGTCTCACTGCCCTTTTGTAATAATGATTGTTGTGACTTCTTATGAAGATTTCCAGAAAAGATTTAGATAAACAACTATAAGTTCAATGGATGTTCTCTGCATAGAGACAATGTTAACTACAGGCTGGGGAAGAAAGCCAAAGAGCTATGTTTCTCATGAGTTGGTAGATCAATCCAGATGGAATCCTGTATTCCACTTCAACAGTTACAGAGAAGGGGACTTGTTACTCTGTTTCTGCTACATGTGTAATCAGATGGACACAGTGATTTGGATTAAAACTACATCTGCCCTCTTTCTAACCCGGGCTTCTGACATTGATCAACAGGCATTATTGTGTAATACTGCCAACTAATTTACAAAAGAAACAAACATAAAGAGAAGGATAGGGAAATCATGAAGTGGGCACACCAAACATGCCACATCTAATGTCATTTCTTGAAAGATATGTGTATTTATTATCTGTTGGTATAGTGAAGTGAAGGGCACTTCTAAAGTAATTGGCAAAAATGGTCAACACTAACAGCACTGCAAGCCTATGTGTATAACATGCACTCACAACATTACATGGAAGCTCTTTGGTAAACCAGCGATTTCAAAAGTTTCTCATAATTTGTCTCGAGACATTTCCTTTGAGAACCACCCTTCAAGAGACTTCTGTTTGCTTACCAATCAGTGGTTTTGATTAGCCATGTTGAGACTGTGACACACAAAACATTCTCCATGCACGGATTTCCAGGTGTTTTATAAGCACTATAATGCTGAACGTAGAGGCCAGTTGAAGTTGTATTAGCTGGATTTGTGATTAGTTTTCCAGTTTTTTTTTTTTTTGCACCAGCACACTAAAAGCCAATGTTGTAAGAGCAATTATATAAAGCAAGATCATACCTGAATTGTCAGCTGAGCCTGTCTGAGGCTTCACCACCTCCTCTGTCTATTGGTTGTTGATGAATAATTTGAGTAGCTCTATTTCAATTATAAAGGTGTGGTAGGTGTTAGTACATGATAAAGATGCATCTGGCACAAAATGAAGGAGCCAACTCTTCACTTCCACATCTAATTAGTACCACCCTAACTACGCACGCAAACCCAGTCAGAAAACAAACTTGTTGAGTTTTGTCTTGAATATAAGATGGATGGTAGAAGTGAATGGATTACGAAATGATCACCAACACAAGGATATTTATCTCGGTCACGCAGACTGTACAGAGACTGTCCTACTATTTGTAAACGAGAGGTATACATTCATTGTATCGATGATAGATTTGATGAAATGCCTGTGGCATTTTGCTCTCCTTGTCTTATTCATACCAAACTTTTTCCAACCCTCGGGGGTATTTTCCCTCTCTAACCCTCGGCCTGCTTCATTAGAAAAGCCCTGAAACATTATTTAAAGAGTGTCAACTTTCAGCCACAATACACAGGCCTCTAAAAAAAAAACGAGAGACTTGAGAGGAAATTATCATGTAACATTGAGGCAGCAGAATTCCATAAATCAACACTTTTGAAATACTTTCTGTTCCAAATCCAGAGGACGTCATAGCCAGTGAAAGGGCAATTATAGCTGAGAAGTACCTGCTGTATAATCTCTTTCAATAAAAGGTATGAAACTAAGTTCTCTGGGAAAGTATGGTACAGTGACATCGCAGGAACAAGACAATACTGTCTTGTTCCTGCGATGTCGGTGATGGTTGCCTGACAGCCTAACGCCCTCAACGAAGCGCCCATAGGCTAGATTACATACAATTATACTTTGACACATCTCCACACGAGCACATGATGTCCATGTTCACGCAAACACAATACATTGTATATCGCATTATCCAAAATGCAACGTACTGTTGCATCTATGCAAAAAGTTTGTAGAAATAACATCTTGAAGTAGTTGCAATGAATATCAAGTCTAAAATTTAAAAATCCAAAGCATATGACAGCCATATTAGCGACCACGACTGCAAAACAAAAAGTGAGAATGAATGCTGAACAACGTGACTGCAATCAATAATCAGGGAAGATCCATCTCATGTGTGTGAGCAAAGATCTAATCTTAAATTCTTTGTAATTTGCTTTTCATCTATGTATTTTCACATGCTTAAATATAACTGTCAGGTAGCACTTTCAGAAAATTGTCCAAACTAAACCATCATATGTCCATATTTTGGTGGATGTACGCAATGTCCATGCAAAACCGCACAAGATACAAAACAGGCACTGACCTCCATTTGTCTGTTTGAGCAGATTTCACCACATTTGGGTTCGTCTGAGCTGCTTGGTCAGAACGCCAGCAAACTAGCTAGCTAAAGGATCTTTGATTATCTTTTGAACAGAGCAGACAACAAAGGTAGTATACAGGAAGCTGGCATACTGTTCTGATGCTGTATATTCTAATTAATAGAGATACCACGCATAGCTGCACATCTGGTTGTGCAGACTTGCTTCCAGATTTGATATTTCTTTTGAACATGATTTATTGATAAACCGCATCCTCAACAAAGTGATGTCATTTGTGGATAATTACAGGCTGGCAGCATTTATTAAAGAGCCAGATCAGACTGAAGTAGTGGGTAGAGGATCCATCTTTAAAAGTGGTGTTTGGTTCCTCTCCTTTTATTTCGGATGACCCATTTTAGGAGCCTTAGGCCCAGAGCACCTGGTGCAAGTACGACTAGTGCAGACACAACAAGCAACACCCGTGTTGTCATCATGGCCAACTTTGAAAGCTCCATTTTACTAAGGGTAGTAGGCTAAGCATGACGTTTCACACAGGTTACCCATTCACCCACGATGATGACAAATCTCATTAATGAGGAAATTGATGATTCAAGATCAGATCATCATGCTCTGGATAATTTTGAATTTGAATATATTGAATGGGACAATGCAATATAACATAGCTCTGCAAAGAAGTTTGCTGCAAAGACAGTTTATAGCTATTGCTAATTTTCCACTCTTGTCCCTGTTTGGGCTTTTACATGTACAGTTTAATTAAAATATAGATCGTAAAAGCACAATACTGTGGCTAAGTGGCAGGGCCGTCCTTCAATCAGAGGATCGGTGGTTCGATCCCCGGTTCCAGCTCCCCTAATCGCATGTCGATGTGTCCTTGAGCAAGACACTCAACCCCAAAAATTGCTCCCGTAGCTGTGCCTACCTATGGTGTAGAAATGGGATAGAAACTGAATTGTAAGTCGCTTTGGATAAAAGAGTCTGCTAAATGACTGTAATGTAATACACCTTTTTAATTTACAGTACAATCAGCTAAAAAATTGGTACAGCTCTGGTTTGCTTTTAGCCAGCACGTAACCTTTGAAGTAAAATATTTTTTATCTGGAATTAATTGGATTCAGTTGGTAATGGGCCGACTGCTCTTCATGGAGAAAGCTGATTTAGATCGACGTTATGGTATTTTACAGTTGCCATTCACCATGCTCCTAGTTACAGTCTTCCTATCTTGTCTCTGGGGCTGGACTGTAAACCTACTTTGAGAAAACACAAAAAAGAGAAAAGCTCTCAAAGCCTGTTAAAACTGACATTAGAATTATCAGCTGACTGATGAACAACAGCAGTTACAATGTTAAATGCGTATTGGTGAAATTAAACAACAGACAAGTATAGTTTATTTAGATTTTGTGAAAGGAGAAAATAAACCTGACTATGTTCATCTCACGCGGCTCTTCTCTCTGTGCGCGGCAGCTGTGCTCATTGATTAACAAAGACGCCAAAAAATATTCTGCGAGCATTCTGTGTCTCTTGTAGTTCGGGGAGCTGTTTATCTCACGTGTTTATAGCTCACAATCAAACTTGGAACAAGGACAATGCAATTATGTACATTCAACTTTTCCGCGAGTAATAAAACACAAAAATGAACCACGGATGCCAGAAACAGCTACAGTAGCACATTTAAGCTGAAAAGGGGCATAAATTAAATATCTAGAACGCCTGCAAAAATAAAACTAAAAAAACCCGCTAAAACCAGTCTTGAGGGTTATCTGTTGGAAGCTGACAGTAGTGACATCAGCAGGTACAAAATGGCTACCATCATCAAGAGATGCTGTCTACAGTATCTGTCCACACTAAGAATGAGCAGCCATAGTAGCTGCAGTGATAGTCATGGTATTGTCCTTAAAGGGTCACTGAAACGGGGGGTTGGGCTTCCCCGTGACCTGAGGTCAAACTACAGTGACATGCTGCAGCTTGTAGGATCCACCACTGAGCCAACACATTCAAGACTCTGAGAGACGAGCTGCGCTTCAATTCAATGTCAAAGTAGCTTAAAGCTAACATACAGACAGACTTTTATGTTGGATGACTCACCACATACTCACAATTAAGACGAAAGCAACTTGAGCAACTGTTAAACCCTGTCAAAAAGTGTGTAATGAAACATTGTGTTCTGCTGTACATACATCACTTCTATGGAGAGGAAAAAAAAACTTTCAAACCTGTGATATGTGGCAGAACATTTGTGAAAATCATGCCATGAATTAACAAAAGTCTTTAAAGCCCGGTTGTAGCCATTCATTCGTTTTTCAGAGAGCTTATGATACAACTGTGCTTTGGCTCTGTGAGGTCCAGAGCTGGTTTAGCTGGAACTTCAGTTTTAGTTGATTTTTGTAATGAAGTCATATCGTTTCACTTCCTTGCAATTCCAAAGTGCTGCCAAAACCAGATGTGCCTCTACACGCTGTCCCCATCGGGAGACCGATCCATGTGACAACCTAGCGGCAAGCTTTGACAAGCCAAGGGGATACTTATTTTGTCCCATACTTCCGCGAAACAGTAACACAAACTTAATCTCACTCTTTCTCTCCAAGACTCTCTCTGTCTCCTACACACGCACACACACACACACACACACACACATAAATGTAATGTACAAAAACATATATGTATTTGTATATACATACAATGTTACACAGAAACCACCTTTAATTTCATTTTACCTGTTGTTGGATCCTTTTGTCCTTTCTTACCGCCCTTCTTTCTCCCTTTCTTATCTTTCCTCTTGCTCTCCGTCATGCTGTCAGAAGAAAGTAAATCCTCTCAGGAGAAGACACAGAAAAAAACCCAGGTAGTCCTATTGGGAACGTGTGGCAAGTGGGCTCCACCAGACTCTGAGCCTGTTAGAACGTCTCTCCTGCTATATAGACTCACACCAATCAAGTAAAGCAAGGAACCACCTACTCACAGCAGGGCAGAGGGAGGGAGAGAGAGAGGGAGAGGAAGGGAGGGAGGGAGCAGGGAGTAAAATAGGGAGAGAAAGGTAGAGAGCCACTGCTCAAGACACTCCAAGGAGAAAAGGGAGAGAATACAGAAGGAGGGAGGGGAGAAAGAGGGAGGGAGCAAGTAAGGCATTTCCCATTGCTTTAAGGCAATCAACTGTTCCCTCACTAGATCTATCAGATAGGTAGTGGCTCTGCCAGGCCCTGCAGCCAGAGCTGAGGACAGAGAGAGAGAAACCCTGTCCACACAGAAATCTGAAGTCTTCCCATTCAAGCTCGTCTTGGCCCTGCTTGTAGCCAACTCTGTTTCTAGTTCCTACCTCGGGAGCATCTTCTCTTTTCTAATGACCCGTGCAAAAAAGTGTAGCGAGACCACTTAAGTTGTCCCCTCTGCACTGCTGACCCCACCCAGATGATTCAGGCGGAGACATGCCCTTGCCAGGTTGATGTCGGGGTCCCAAAACACTTCACATCTGGTTCAGATTTGCCGAGCACATATTCTGTGGATATGTGCAAGAGAGCGGCGTGTGAGGTGCCGAATGTCAGATCACAATCTGCGACAGACTGCTCCTTGCAAAATTAGACAAAATCATCCATGGCTTCCTTTGCTGCTCCCCTTCCTCACCTCTCTTGTCTGTCAGCCCCCTCTCAGTGGTACAGGCGAGTTGCAGCTTGTCTGCGGTTGCATCTCGCTCTTTCAGTGTCGCTGTTAGCCAGGTGTCATCAATGTCCACGCAGCAGCAAGGATAAAGAACTATTAAACCAAGCTTTCAACTTTTAAAACTCAGCTTTATGCATACGATACCAGACCGTGGCCTTCTGCAAATCAGTCAAATCCATTTTTCTACTCTGAAAGTTGGGCATCTCACCTTCTGTACTTTCTATGTATGTCAAATAGGCAGTTTGAGGAAAGTAAGGCAAGGGGAGACGCATATAAAGGTGGGGCAAGACTGAGTTGAAGGCCAGCAGCAGCACATGTGGCGGAAGAAAAAACAAAACAAATCAAAGAGCAGAACTTTCTAAGAGTGGCGATCGACTCCCTGCCTGACTTTAATACAGCGAGAGAATATTTGAGACAATATCTAATGCAAACATGACTTCAACAACAACGTCGCGGCCCGTCTGTTTGTCTTCATTTGACGTAGCCAAAACTGTGACTAGATGATGATCGCAGTATTATTTTAAGCTGCTGTATCAAAGTAAGGTTTTTTTTTCTAATTTCATGCTGACTGAACTCGGCTGTCCTAAGTGGCAACAAAATAAAAATGCATCGAAACTACAGCAGAGTGAAAAAAGAAATCTGTAGGTGAGTCATCTGCAGGGCCCTCCCAGGGTTTGTCTCAGTTCAGCCCTCCGAGGAGCCTACACGTCTCTTTGGAAGCGGCGGCAGAAGCAGGGATTGGAAAGGGGGGCAGCAGAAGGGTCATGTCTCAACAGGTCAGCACACTCAATGGCATAAGACTCATCTGTGGGCAACAAAACTGGAGGGGTCAACCCAAAGCCAAGGTTTGACAATATAGGGCTTTTCCTACTCCACAAACAAATTGCTCTTTCCTCTCTCCTCTCCTCCCGGTGGCTGTTCTCGATGATCTAATCTGTCAGCAGAGGTAACCGAGGGCTGGCAGGGGCCACGGTGTGTCAGAGGGCTGCCCCTGCCGCTCTATCTCCCCCCCAACCTCAACACTCACTTCCTCCTCTACGTCTCAACAAGATGAGACTCGTTCCCAGGCCCGTGTGTCTCTGGGTGGGAGTGTGGTTTATGTATGTGTCAGAAATGTGAGTATATCTGTGACGTCAGGACAGAAGAAATGGCACTTTCAGGATGATGGAATATAGATTTAGACCGTCTGTGTGGCTCTCACAGCTTTTCTCAACCTGCTCCTTTTAAGAAGAGCCACACAAGATGCAAATTAGTGAAATGTAACATTAGCTGACATGAGTTATGAGGGTGTACTGCACATATGGCATGCAGGAGCATTGGGAACAGGTTAACCTCGAGGTTAGTTTGGATATCAATATGCAGCTCTCAAAGTTTTCACAAACTTGCCGAGCTGCTGCTGAACTGTGAAGAATTCTAACATTTGCATAATGTAGCAGTATGTATGCTAAAATGTGTGAGTTCTGCTAACACAACTCACCACAGCTGTGTCCCACTTGGCAGTTACATACAACATGGATATGTTAAAAAGTAGAGGCACATACACAAGGAAAGGGGAAGGAAATGGGTTCCTGTTTGACTGCACACTGTAATAAAATTAAGTTCGATTTTATTTACTTTTTTTGTCCTCAAGATTGTGTGAAGAGCCTTGAACAAGGTTGAGCTTTCGTATACGAGCTTGTGGAGTACAACAAGTGTCTGAAATGAACGCCATTTTTCACACCCAGACACAAATATGGTCATGGACATGTGCATCTAAATCTCTTTCTCTTTTTTTCTAGTCTACTCAAAAGCATCTGCTGTTTTTCAACAGCCGTGGGCCGTCCTCGGATCGGGGTGTGGAGGTGGAGGGGCACAGTGGGCCAGTGTGGGAGGAGCATCGCTTGAGGAGCACATCCACAAAAAAAAAGAAGAAAGAAGGAAAAATGAGGCCAAGACCTAAAAGTTCTGCTCATAAATGCTCCACAGGCCCCATCTCTGCCTGCCTCCTAATCCCTCCTCGCTGACCCCCACCCTAAAAAAGGGGAGACAGCTTTCCTGTATGATGGAGCTGAGCAGCTCCCTCCTAACAACAGCATACCTGCACATCATCACATTGATACAGCTCAACAGTACTCCTGCCCTTTCACAGGCACCAGAGTTTATCTTTTTAGACATAATGGCTAAACAGCCATTAGGTTGTGTTGTTTACATCTGTCTGCCTTTTTGCCAACACAGTGTATAGGGGTGGGTGGGTGGGTGTCGGAGGCTTAAAGGAGCATATAGTGCCTGCTTTTAACACATGTCTGTAGTCTTGACTATCAGAGGTGAGGTATGGTGGTGGTGGTGGTGGTGGTGGTGGAGGTTGGGGGGGGACAACCTCTAAGATAAATAAATGGAGAGGACAAGGGAAAAAAAGGGAGGAGGGAAGGAAAAGGGAAGGGTAAACAGGTGGGGAGAAGAGATTTGGTAATGGAAATAATGTCCTCTTCATCAGATGACAGAAAACAGCCCCACCTGCTAATATTCACCTTTCAACAAGGCATCTGCTTCAGCGTGCACTGAGGTGTGATGTTGGAACAACACATGTAGGCGGCCCGATCACTTAAATAAAAAGCTGCACATCCAGCAGCAGTTATCTGTTGTAGTACAGACAGGAGATTGCGTTAAACACAATCTGCTTGATAATGCCAGTCTTGCTGCTTTTTTAGTTTAAATGTATAGAGTCCGTGCAAGTGGCTCTCTGTAGAAATGGCACAACATGAGACACTGAGGACTTGTGTCACTTGGCAGGCTGGTGAAGCCCCCTTACGGACTAGACACGACACAAATCGGTGTCGGTGACATCTGGAGGCCCGAGGAAGGGGCTTTATTCTCAAGGTCAACGGAGATTCCAGATCTGAGTGTTACTAATGACTCTGCTCAGCAACAGCTGAGATCAGGAGCGCAGAAAGAGACCAGATATCACATCCAGCGTCTCGTTTACCAAACAGCAAACGGAAGAGGCGAATTCAAATCAAGCATGGCTGTTTGGTTAAAAATCAAGCATTTAAGTGTTACACAAGGAAGTGATCCTGGGTGGATGCAGCTCTTTGACGTTTCCGCAGCACATTGCTGTCACCATGGTAACCACAGTCTTAAGGGTAGCAACTAGAGTATGTGAGAGAGATGTGGAAGGGTGGATTGAGGATGAGAGACAGGGGGAGAGAGACCCAAAAAAAAAGGATGCAAGCGAGAAAGTAGAAGATAATGTGTAAGACATACAATGGGGGAGGGAGGGGGGGGGAGTGAGAGGGGGATAAAATAAAAGAAAGGTAACACGGGAGAGCGGTGAAGAGAGGCAGAGAAACAGAGAGCCAAACAAAGACACACAGAGAGAGCGGTATCCACTGAGCAGCTGCAGCCTGGCCACTGTATCGCTCCATAAGAGAGATGTCCACGGGGTAAGCCTCTGCCAAGCCTGCTGGGAAGCACTGCAGTAGCATCTCGGAGAGAGGGAGACATGACAAACATCAGCACTGAGCATGCTCCTCATTCAAGGCCACTGAGAAAATGAGATTTCAGCTCTTTAGCCTCTCAGTTTGTTCAGTTCTCCAGCTCTATCCCAGCCTCCATCTGTCACTATTCAGCTATTCATGAGCACATCACACCACCAGAGCCTCTCCCTGCGTTCAGATGTGGCTCCTCGCTGGATAAAATCTGACCGATGTGTCAGATAACTGATTGATCTAATGGTAAGAGGCATCTTTCCCACTTACGGCCACACTGACTCATATTGTGACAGGTTTGATTGGGGCTGAGAGGAACAAGTGATGAGCATAGCAACTCATCAGCCAATGGGGCATGATACTGCAATAACAGGCCAGCACCACGGCAGCCTCACACACGCACGCACACACACACACACACACACACACACACGCACACACGCACACACACGCACACCACAAACACACAAACACACAAACACACACACAGCCTAATTGCCGGATGTGATCTCTGTGCCTCCAAACTCTTACTGATCGTCTTCCTTATCTAAACGGCTGCCAGAGATAAAAAATGACAGCCATACATTTGAGTCAGACCTGCAATTAAGCTCATGTTGATTTATTTGATTTTTTTTTGCCAGCAGACAGACGGACACGCCCATGCTGAGACACAATTGTATGCTTTTCAGTTTTATGACTGAAAATTGACGCCTCTTTTTGCAATCAGTCATGGCTGAATGATGAAGTATGCGAGAGAGAGCGTGCCCTGTGTGTGTCCTATGTGTGTGTGCGAGGACAAAGCAGAGGCTTTAGAGAGGATGTCAGTTGAAACTCAACTTCCACTTTGGCAACAACAGCGAACACTGTAAAATGATGTTCCCCTTGCTGGTTAACATTGGTGATACAACTTTGTATCAAAGTTGACGTGCTACATCCTCATTTATATCTTTCTTCACTGATAACAAAAAGCCTCTCATTTTGGACAATAATAGCTTATTGCTGTGATACCGAAGTAGCACAAAAATCTTCAATGACAGATGCTGTCTGAGCATGACTGTGATGATCCTCTTAAACAAAAAATAAATCTGCTCTATCTTCTTAAGGCCGCCCGATTGAATCTCTCTTTCCCTCTGTATTTTTCCTCTTTAAAACGTATTTATTTTTCTTCCTCTCTGTCTGTCTGTCTGTCTCTCTCTCTGCCTGTCTCCCTCCCTTCAGTCTAAGGGAGAGATAAAGAGGTTTGTGTGACTGTGATCAGATTGACTTGAAGATAGAGGCTGGAAGCTGATCTCTTCCACCTCCTCATTCTGCTCTCTCTCTCCTGCTCTTACCCAGATGAATAGACAAACAGTCTCCCACATGCTCTCACAGTTTATCAAACACACACCCACATAGAACCAGGTATTCATGCAAACACGTATGTGTGCTCACCAGAGAGAACAACACGCACTCAATCTAAGTGTCCTCAGGCCGACAAAGTATACACTGTCACACTCAAACACAAACATACCCCCTCAAACACGCACATACGCATACGCATACAAACACACAGGTGCATCCACGTGTAAATAGAAGAAGCACATGGGTCATTGATGCGTTCAAAATGGACCTAATTTCCACTCCTGCTGGACCTAATACAAACCATTCCCCTGTATTTCAATTACTAAACAGACTTTTAGGACACCACATCTGAATCACAGCATATCAGGCTGTGTGTTTTTTTCCATTTGTTTTTTTCCATTGCGCACACATTTGTCATTCAAAACCCAAGTGACTAAACTTTTTATACATCTTACATGTCGTCATTGCATATCATGTGTGAAAAAAAGTATGTGAATAAAAATCCAAGAAGCTACCGAGTCTTAGAGAATTTTCAATGTTCAGAATAGCCATAAATGTTATAATTTGTACTGTCTGTACATGCAACACTTGGACACAATGACCCTGTATTATACACAATCCAATGACTTAATCTCTGGAAAGATTCCCCAGCCTTCACAAATTAGTTCGAGCAGACCCATGACTACAATAGTATATAAACATTCAAATTGTGGATTGAAATAAGTCCATGATGAATGTCACTTCAATCATCCATCAGCGTTTCATACATGTCTAAAATCCACTTTAAACTGCAGTAGTGTAAATTACTACGAGGCAAAACAAAGGAAGGTTGTGCTCTTATCAGTAACCCCCCCCCCTTCAAAAACATGTGTGCATCCGCTCTCTGCTTGGCATTCTTCTTCACATCAAATCAAATTCCTTCTGCGCTCTGCACTTGTTCTTTATCTCCAGAATGTGCTTTTAGAGCAGCATAAACATGTCACGATGGGGACACTGTGAGGAGTGTCACACAGAGTGAAAGCAGCTTCTTGGTCAAATCATTTGCATTTCTGCTTTTTGCCTCTCATGGCTGAGCTCGGGCTTATCAACAGTCTGTCTTATCTCTTTGTTTGTTTTTCACCAATGGCTTTTCCTGGAAAACAGGCCACTACGCATGTGTAAGCTTAGATCACGCTTTGGCGCCATAAGCCCAGATCAAGGCGGTCTCAAACTGAGTGAGCTTGATATGTGGGCAAGAGAGTGGCCTCAGCGGACGGTGCCATGATGGCCTCACACTGTGCTCTGGCAAGCCAGGCATGGCTGACAGGAAGCCAGAACCATGGTTGGTTCATCTCAGCGCAACAGGATGACTGCAGAGGCCCACAAAAACCCTCGCCACCCCTCCAGAAGCAGTTAAATTCATCGCCAAGCGCACCAGTGACTGACAACCCCGGTACTAAGAAGGAGGTTAAAGCTATAAAGCTGTAATTGTTCTAAATAGGCAAGCCACTGCGGTTTGAGCAGCTTAGCGAAGGAGGAGCAGTGCAAAAGCTTTAGCCTAAAATCTAATAGTTGAGTTTTAGCCAACAGAGCATTAATTGTTGCTCAAATGGCATACAGTAGTAAATACAAAACCATATTTGCAGACTGAGGGGAGCACAGGTTAGTGTCAACCTGTTGACCGCAAAAAATGAACTCAAACTGTTGACCAATAGTTGTATCAGCATGGCATTACAGACTTTTCACAGGATAAAATGAGAAGATGTCCTTTGCTACTTTCTTTTCTTTTTTTTTTTGCAATGCTGGCTTGCTTGCAGCGGTTTCCTGGCCCTTGGCCATTGGCTGTATGATAACTGCCTGCTTGCAATCCTAATGTCATGAAGACAACAAGGGAACGAAAAGAAACATGCCTAGACAATGCGTAGCAAAAGTACACATCCCAACAGATGGTGATGGAGGAAAAGCGGAAACGGGGCTACAGGGCTCACACGACAGGGACTTTCTGTAACACTGATCTTTCTAGCTTTTACAAGTACAACAGACCTCTGTGAGGAATGTTGCTTTGTCATTTTGGGTAAAACATCCCCGGAGTTAAGGGCTATCAATATCACAAGGGAGATATATACCTCTTTTGTCTGCATTTGCTGCAGTGAGGTGATGGTTAGTGTGCTGGTCTGTGGGCCAGCTGGGACACATCTCAGTTCACCCGTGCACGCATTCACTCACACGCAAACACACGCACATACTGAAGCTTGATCTACGCTGCTCACTATCTTTCAACAACAAGCTGAGCAGGGACCAGACGGAAAGAGGTCCTATTTGTGCAGGAAGATAAATACACTTCTGCACCCAGTCCTGTCCCCTCCAGATTAGAGCAACACAATAATGAGCAGAAGCACTGGTGGAAGGTCAGACAAAAGCAAGGGTAAAGGATAGAGTAACAGCCGACTACCAAAACACTCACCCCCGCACACATACATGCCGGAGTAATCACAGACAGACATGCTTTTATCTTTATTTATCAG